GAAGGAAGGAGTGGAAATGCGAAGGAAGGAAGGAAGCCATAGTGGCACTGGTTAGAATGCAGTATTGCAGACTGACTCGGCCGGCTTCCAGCAGTTTAATCCTGTCCAGCTGGAGGTTGACTCAGCCTTCTATCCTTCCGAGGTTGGTAAAATGAGGAGCCAGATTGTTGGGGGGCAATAGGCTGACTCTGTAAACTGCTTAGAGAGAGAGGGCTGTATAAGTCTAAACACTATTATTTGAGAAGGAAGGAAGGAAGGAAGGAAGGAAGGAAGATGAGAAGGAAGGAAGGAAGCCATAGTGGCACTGGTTAGAATGCAATATTGCAGACTGACTCTGCCCACTGCCAGCATTTTGATCCTGACTGGCTCAAGGTTGACTCAGCCTTCCATCCTTCCGAGGTTGGTAAAATGAGGAGCCAGATTGTTGGGGGGCGTAAGCTGGCTCTGTAAACCGTTTAGAGAGGGCTGCAATGCACTATGGTATATAAGTCTAGGTGCTATTGCTTGGGAAGATGAAGGCAGGCAGGCAGGCAGGCAGGCAGGCAGATAGGAAGGAAGGAAGGAAGAAAGGAAGGAAGGAAGAAGGTCAAGTAAAGTGAGGATCCAGATTGTTGTGGGCAATACAGTGATTCAGAAGGGAGCAAGAGAAACTGACCGTAAAGTGGGTTTGTGGGGTCTCTCATATCCTGTTACTCTGAGATCCAAATTGTGAAAGGCTTGACTGACATTTTCTTTCTGTCTTGGTTCCCAGTTTGCCACGGTTCGTGCACCAGCTGTACAGGACCTTTGCCCACTCAGTGTGCCTCCTGCTCCTTCCCCCAGGCCTTCTACCAAGGCCGCTGTCTCCTCGCTTGCGGAGAGGGATTTTATCAGCACCACAATCTCTGTAAAGGTAACCCAGATTTCCTTGCCTTCATAGGCCGACAAATAAAACCTCTGCTGTTCGTTCTTCTCCTGTGGTTTCAATGTTTGGAAAGTTTTTCATTACCCCTGAACTCTTTTAGAGACTTTTTGAGAGAAGTCACTTTTGGAATTGAACTGAAATCAAATTCTTAAAAGGTTTTCCTGGGTTTCATGACCCCCCCTCCCCACCCCAGAAAAAGAAATGGTTGTGTGATGTTGAGAATGTTGATGGACCGGGGCAATAACGCTGGAAGGAGAAGAAAGAAAACAGCTGCCAAGGTCAATCACAGGAGCCCAGACAGTTCAAATGAATATAGATTTATTGTATGTTAATGCTCTCTACAAGAATCTGAACTATTAATAGCCAAAGCAAATTGGTGGTAGATAAGAATGAAAGGGATTTGAGGTGGGCTGGACTTTGATCTCTTGTGGGAGTGAAGGGACTCAAGACTAATGACAAGTTTGACCCCTCCCTCGGGCTCAGCCTGGTCATTTCCTATCGGAGGGATCGTTCCACTGACTGGAAAAAGCTACCTTAGGTACAGTCTGAATACCTTCCATATGGGTAGATTTCAACTCCCAGAATTCCTAGCAATGGCCAAGCTGACCAGGGAATTGTAGAAGTTGAACTCAGCAGATATGGAAGATATTGAGACTTTGCATTGAATATGGGTCTAGAGCGTCTCCCATAGAGAGCGCCTCATTTAAGATGAATTTCACATTTAATCAAATATGTCTATGGAGAAGTCATCCTGGTCATGGCTGTCTCAAAGGTGCTTTTTTGAAAGACAACTGGACTGTAGTTTTTCCTTGAAGAAGTTTCACATCTCATCCAAGAAGCTTCCTCAATTCTGAATCAGAATTGAAGAAACTTGAGTCAGAACTGAAGAAGCTTTTTGGATGAGAAGCGAAATGTCCTCATGGAAAGAATACAGTCCAGCTGCCTTTTGAAAAAGCACCTTTGAGAAAGAATGAGACATTTTATTTGGCCAAGTGTGATTTGACACACAAGGAATTTGTCTCCGGTGCAGAAGCTCTCAATGTACATGCAAACCAATGGAATAATGATAATAATAATAATAATAATACCAATAAGAGGAGGAGGATAAAAAATATATATAAGAAGGATAAATAATAATAATATTACAGACATACTACATGGTAAATACACATAGACGTAAGACAGCATTGTGTGGTTTAGATGTACAGCAGAGTCATGGCCCAAGGGGGGGGAAAATGTCTATGTCTACCATGTTTCTCATATAATAAGGCTGGGTCTTATTTTTTTTTGAGCCCCGAAAAAATGGCTAGGCCGTCTTTTCGGGGGTGACTTAATTCTCCCCCCTTGGATCTTCGGACGGGCGGCGACGGCTTGAATGTTGACCTCGGCGTTGGTGAGGTACTTAGTATCGGGGTCAATGCAGGCAGCACCATATCTGAGTGTGCAACAAAAGTACTTCCTAACGGCACCCCCCACCACCATTCCCCCCCATTTCGCATGTTTTAATATAGGCCTTAATTTGGGGGGAGGGGCTTAATTTCATTTCATGCCTATAAAACATGCTGGGACTTCCTATTGGGGGAGGCCGTATTGTTGGAGAAACAGGGTGGTGGTTTTGATCTGCAATGCCCTATAGCGCCATCCTGAGAGGAGGAGTTGAAATCATTTATGTCCAGCATGTGAAGAAGACTGCAGATATTTTCTCAGCCCTCAGCCTGTAGAGATTGTTAGTCATTTAGGTCAGTGGTTGCCAACCAGCAGTCTGCGGACCGCTGGTGGTCTGCGAGAAAATTTTGGTGATCCGCAGAGAAATGGCACCCCGCCCCCCAAAGCACCACCCAAAGCAATTAATCCAAGCTGTGTGGGAATACAAGGCTGTGCCGCCCACATGGCCTGTGAGAAAACAAGGCTTGCGTCACTTGCATTGTGAACAACATGAGGGGGAAGAACTTGCCACACTCACCCTACGCGCCTCGCCTGGCCACCGGGCTGCTTCTTTCCATTTCTTTCTTCTTCTGCTTTTGACTGCACGTAAGGAAAGCAGCAAAAGTCTTTCTTTCTCTCCCCCAAACTCTGCCAGAAATGAGTCTTGGGGACCCTGCAAAGCATCCTGCTCCAAGAGGCTCCGCCGGCAAAGACTCGTTTCTGGTGGAATTTGGGGGAGAGAAAAAAAAGACTTCTGCTGCTTCTGCTATTTTCCTTCCATGAAGCCAAAAGTCTCTCTCTCCCTCCCTACCCCCCACCCCTGAGAACGGAGCTGGAGATGGTATCCTGCGATCCCAAATAAAGAATGATCGATCGGTAGGAAAACGGGGTGGGGAATTTTCCTGCAGACTTTTGGGGGGATTTTCCCAGGGTCTCTGGTCTGCGGGATTTAAAATTATGAGTTTGGTGGTCCCTGAGGTCCAAAAGGTTGGCGACCCTTGCTCCAGGTCCTGGTTGTCCCAAAGGTGCTTTTTCCAAGAGGCAACTGGACTTTCTGGTTTTTTTCTTTGAAGACGTTTCGCTTCTCATCCAAGAAGCTTCTTCAGCTCTGACTGGATGGTGGGGAACGGAAGGATTTATATTCCTTGCAGACAGCTGGTCATTTGCATCCTTTTAGAGCAGTGATGGCTAACCATTTCGGCACTGAGTGCCCCATGTGCAAGTGTGCGCATCGCCAAAATGCAATGCGTGCACGTCCCCCGTGCATGTGCCCTCCATGCCTGCTCCCCACGCATACGCATGCGTCTCCCTACGCATGTGCCTTACAGAAGCCCGAAGACCAGCTGGTCGGTGGGAGGCGCATGCACAAGCGTGGCAGAGCCGAGCCGGGGCGACGGCTCGCGTGCCCTAGATTTGCCATCATGGTTTCAGAGGGTCGTTGAAGCCGTTGGAGGTTTATCTGTGACCTCGGGGTCACCTGAGTAGTGCAAATGGTTCCTTTAGTCTGCAATTTTTTTCCTCTGGAAATCCTTTCCCCTTCCCACACTATAAATCCTTCCATTCCCCACTATCCTCTCAGAACTGAAGAAGCTTCTTGGATGAGAAGCAAAACATCTTCAAAGAAAAACAAGGACGTCGTCCAGTTGCCTCCTGAAAGAAAGCACCTTTGGGTTTTTCAAGCCCTCCTTCCGATCTCCAAAATAGGCAGGTCTGGTTGGTTGCAGTTGTTCTTTCTGCAGTTTTATTCATCCGTTGGGAGTTTGTATCTGTTCGGTTTGTTTTCCGGCTCTCCTTCCGCAGGTTGCCATTCATCCTGCAGGTCGTGTGTGGGCCCAGAACATTCACACTGTACGCAGTGCATGAACCCAGAGGAGAAGCTTCAACCATACCTGAGCCTTGAGGAAAGGCCCGTTGGCACCTGCTTGCCTCAATGCAGAGCCCAGTTCTACAGTAACGAAGACAGGATTTGCAAAGGTGAGCGAACATCCCTGGTTCCTGGGAACCATGCCCACCAAGCCATGCCCACAGAACTGGTAGTAAAATAATTTGAATCCCCACCACTGGTATTGTGGTATCACTGTACTGAGGATTGAGTGCCAAGAAGTTGCTTTACAGCATATAGAAGTGCAACCAAAGCCGTTATCTCGTACTCTTTAAAGCAACTGCATCTCTTCCCAGGATCACACGGTTGTCTATCACAGCAGTTGTACACTCTCAGGAAAAGACAGCTGTGTCAATGTGTCTCAGACAAGTACTATATTCTCTTTCTTTCTTTCTTTCTTTCTTTCTTTCTTTCTTTCTTTCTTTCTTTCTTTCTTTCTTTCTTTCTTTCTCTCTCTCTCTCTCTCTCTCTCTCTCTCTCTCTCTCTCTCTCTCTGTCTTGGTCTCTGTCTCTCTCTCTCTCTGTCTCTCTCTCTGTCTCTCTCTCTCTGTCTCTGTGTCTCTGTGTCTCTGTCTCTGTCTCTCTCTCTCTCTCTCTCTCTCTCTCACACACACACACACACACACACGTCTTCCTGAGTTCCAAGCCTTAGTACAAATCACTTGAAAGATAGAATTCTGCAGTTCTGGATAACTTCCCCGTCTGCAAAACACATCTCTGAGCAGGCCAATAAACTGCCTCCAAGTGATGGGCTAATAAAAAGTGGTTTGTCAAGTGATTTAGATTGTCCTGACATTTATCGGAAGAAAATCCTGTTCAAAGGTAGTTCTGAACTCTTTTTGTTGTGCTCAAGGGGTTTTTTGGAGGGTTAACAATACCACATCGCTTTCTCTCTTAAAAGCACCAGTTCAGCATTTGTGTCCAGAATATGTACCACAAAGCAACAAAATTTGCTTATGATATAGATTGGGGGAAATTGGAATGAGAGGGGAGGCTGCTGAGACTAGCAGATCACGATGGCAGTATAGATGGCAGGAGAGTCCGAAGACCAAATAATTCAAACCTCTGCTTCAAGTGCCTTCAAGTCAGCCTTGTCTCCTGGTAACTGCCTCGAGAAATCAGCAGTTTCCTTGGCGAGATTTTCCGAAGTCGTTTACCACTGCCTGTTTCCTAGGCTGAGAGAGAGGGACTGGCCCAAGATCACCCAGCTGGCTTTGCGCCTGCAGCAAGACTAGAACTCAGAGTTTCCCAGGTTCACCATTACGCCAAACTGGGTTGTCAGAGTATTTGCAGCGTGTCTGCTATTGAGAGACAACTCAGGAGCAACTACACAGCACACAGAGGCTTTGTCTTTTAACAGTGGTTTATATACAAGACAGCTATATAGATACATATACGTGGTATGCAAATACCTGGCAATCAATCAGTTTTCTTTTCGGAGAACCACAATGGAGACAGAACACAAGGAGAGAGAGAGATGCCCTCTCATGGCCTCATATATATAGGCAGCTTCTTAAAGTGGTAAAACCTTGTGGACCCATCCTCAGTCTTAAAGTGGCAATAACCATACTGATTCATCCTCATTGCATCAGCCTTACAATAGCTGGTCAGCTATTAAATCTCAATACCAAATCTCAAACACTCTGACATGGTTCTCTTTCTGTCAATAGAATTCCCTTTTTACAACGCTGTAATCCCTTAATTCAGGGTACAGTTGCGGCGACTCGATGGAGCTGAGCATTTATTGGCTAGATTCCCTTCCTGACACCTACATGAATAGTTTTTCTTCGCTCCCCGAGAAAGACAGAGCATTTATTTGTTGAGATTTGAAGTTGCCATTTGTTTGACCATTCTGATACATAGTCAAGATCTTTTTGAAGGGTAGCAGTATTGTCTGTGGTGTTGAACAGCTTTACATCATCAGCGAAGAGAACGCAGTTGCTCTTGATATGATCACAGAGGTCATTTATGTAGAGTATGAAAAGAGTTGGTCCCAGAACACATATCTGGAGTGAATTGCCTCTTACTCCTCTGGAGTTGCATCCTTTTGCATTCCATCATCACTCATTCTGTTTTAGTTCTAGGTTGCTCTCCTGCAGCTCAAGCCCTCGGGCATTTTGAGAGCGGGGAGGGGAATCTGCAGCATTAAAAAAAAGAGAGACGATTGGTGCTTCAGGAAAAGCTGTTACTAGACTGTGCGGAATATGTGGCAAAATCTCCTGCAGCAATTCTCATGAGTAAAAAATAGTCCAAAAAAAAAAATAACATTAAAAAAAAAGTAACTTTGGTAACACAGATGCTCTAATTAACTTCAGACTCTGGGTCTAATAGTACGATGGAGCTTCCCTCTTGGACCTTCGCTCTCTTAGGAATGGAGTGACAGTTGTTTAGATTGGCAGCCCCCAAATTTTTTGGCACCCGGGACTGGTTCCCTAAAGTGAGGTTTTTCCGCGGTGTAATGATCTGGGACAAGGCACGAAGGTCACACAGCCAGTTGAGAGTTCAAACTCCCCTATAATGCTCCAGATTTTCCCCCAAATGCTCCCACATTCTTGGCAAGTACACACACACACACACACACACACACACACACACACACGCGGCAGCCTCTGGCTGCACCCAGTCCAGCAAAGCAAAGGAACAGGAAAATGAGTCCACGAAACAAGGAACAAACAATGAATCCACAAAGTCAAGAAGAAGGCACTGAGTCCACAAGTAAGAAAGAAGCAAGCAGTTTAGCAAACTCCAAATGTCTTTACCAGGACACCAAACTCTACCAATTCAGCGTTTGTTCCCGACAAATGCCCCTCTCCGCAGCATCTCCTTAAATCTCAGTCCCCAGGTATGCCTTGTGATGAGGCGCTCTCCTCCCGAGTTGTGGGGTCGGCCTGCACTGTTCCCACCTTCTCTCCACTCTCTGTGCTCAGGGATCAGGAGAGGGCGGTCCTTGCTCATCGCTTGGGCTCCGTCGCTTCTCATGTCCACTGCTTGTCCTCTCTCAGTCATCTTGCCCTCGTTCCTTCCTGCTAACTAGCCGTCCTAATCCTGAGGGGCCCTGGGCTGCCTCGGCCTGCTTCTCCCCATATTCCTCCGAAGCCAACAAAGCCACCCCCTCAATCTCGGTGGGCTCCAGTTCTGGCTCATTTTCCTCCACAGATTCAGGGTCCGACAGGGGCATGACACGTGGACCGAAGCAGGCGTGGTTTCATGTGCTGCCTGCATCCCGCAGATGGGGCTTCACTTGTTTGCACGGCCCGGTTTTTGGCCTGCCGTGGCCCAGTGCCAGTCCACAGATCATGTGTGTGTGTGTGTGTGTCAGGAAGCCTGATTTAGATGATTATGTGTATTATTTTCTTCTGAAAATATATGCCCCTGGGACTTTTACCCTGGTGTTTCTGAACCGTGGCCACTTTAAGAGATGTGGACTTCCACTCCCAGAGTTCCATGCGTGGCTGGGGAATTCTGGGAGTTGAAGTCCACGCTTCTTCAAGCGGCCAAGGTAGGGAAACACAGTTCTACCCACAAGTCCCGCCATCTTTGAAAAACTGTATAGTTTTATTGATCAAACTGCTTTTCCTCTTTTTTTCAACTGCAGTGTGCCACTCTTCCTGCTTTTCTTGCACTGGAGGTTCTCCCGAGAACTGCACCGCTTGCACGTCCCCTCAAGTCTTTCATGAAGGCCAGTGCAGCCCTGAGTGTCCAGAGGGATGGTTTCCTCAAGAAAGCCGTTGCTATGGTGAGTGTCCACAGCGGAACTCCTGGGCGGTAGAATCGAAGAGTACAGGCAGTCCTCGACTTACAACAGTTCACTTAGCGGACCATTCAAAGTTACAACGGCACTGAAAAAAAGTGACTATTTTATGACCGTTTTTCACAGATATGACCATTGCAGCCCCCCATCCCCACCCCAGGTCACGTGATTTACATTCAAATGCTTGAAAAATTTGTCTCACATTTATGATGGTCGCACTGTCCTGGGGTCACGTGATCCCCTTTTGCGACCTTCTGACAAGCAAAATTAATTCACTTAACCACCGGGTTAACTTATGGAACAACCGCAGTGATTCACTTAACAAGTGTGGCAAGAAAGGTCGTAAAACGAGGCAAAACTCACTTCACATAAATTTTGAGCTCAATTGTGGCTGTAAGTTGAGGACTACCTGTATAACAAGAGAACTTTCTCCATCCTAGCTACAGATAGTTCTCGACTTAGAACCAATAAAAGCATCCGTGGTCATGCTGGACTCTGGACTAGGGGATAACCATGACCATCTGTCAAAATGACATAAAAAGAGGTCTCCAGAACGCTCCCTCAGGCAAGATTTTATGAAAGAAAGAGATGGGAAAGGCATTCCATTTCATTTGACCCAGAAAAGGGGTACCATTTTATTTTATTTATTTTACTTTATTTTATTATTTTATTTCACTTTATTTTATTTATTTTATTATTTTATTAATCTATTATTCTATTCTATTCTATTCTATTCTATTCTATTCTATTCCATTCTATTCCATTCCATTCCATTCCATTCCATTCAATTCCTCTATACCTATTCTATTCTATTCTATTCTATTCTATTCTATTCTATTCTATTCTATTCTATCCTATTCTATTTTATTCTATTCTGAAATTTATTTGTTGCCAATCCGAAAGGTGCTTTTTGTGAAAAGGCCACTGGACTTTCTGGTTTTTCTTCGAAGACGTTTTGCTTCTCATCTCGGAAGCTTCTTCAGCTCTGACTGGATAATGGGAAATGGAAGGATTTATGCTCCTTGCAGACAGCTGGTCATTTGCATTCTTTTAGGGAGTCCTTGAGGTCACTTGGAGACTTATCTGTGTCCTCAGGGTCACCTGAGTGGTGTTCCTCTAGTCTGCAGTTTTTTTTTCCTCTGGAAATCCATTCTTACTACCACACCATTCAAAGGGTGGTCATCCCCAGTTGGATAGCTAAAAGTATATAGAGATTCTCAGCATCCAGATCATGGTTGTGCCAAAGGTGCTTTTTTCAAGAGGCAACTGGACTTTCCTGTTCTTTCTTGGAAGGCATTTCGCTTCTTATCCAAGAAGCTTCTTCAGCTCTGACTGGATTAGTGGGGAATGGAAGGATTTATACTCCTTGCAGACAGCTGGTCATTTGTATCCTTTTAGGGAGTCATTGAGGCCACTTGGAGGTTTATCTGTGTCCTCAGGGTCACTTGAATAACGCAAATGAGTGTGGACCCTTCTTGGCTGCAGGATTTTTTGGGTTTTTTTGCTGCCCATCTTGCATCCAACACTGGGTTACCGTTGAATGCCAGGAGTATCTAACACTGACCTCTTGGTTCCATCTTCAATTTACAACTTAATTTTGAACCAGAGACTTCATAACTGAAAAAAAACTGGTGCAAGTTTGGGTCTTCCTTAATTTTCTCCTCTCTCCCCTTGGTGGAACTCAGATGCTTAACTGCTCTTTTGTGACAGTTTGATAGCGAAGAAGGTATTAACCACCTATGGATTTGGCTTTCTTTTTTTCCTTTTTCTTTTTTTCTGACTCGTCTTTTATTGCTGGCTTGTTAAAAATGATTTGTGTTGCTGACAAAGAAATATGCACAGGCTCCAGAAAAAAAAACAAACGAGTAAATAACAGATGGCAGAAGAGAGTTAGCAACGAAGATCCATATTCGAATAATGGGACTTTGAGGAAAGAATTACCTTGCCGGCAATGTGCCTGTTCTCCCTTTGTTTTTAAATGGCCTCTTAGGCATTTCTGTCCGTGAGTGATAACGCGGGAGTGTGCGGAGAAAGGTCTCCATATGTAAATGTTTCCGTGCTCCATGCTTACCATAGATGTCTACGGTTTGCATATGGGTGGCAGATGCCACTATTTTCCAGAATAACAGAGTTGGAAGGGACCTTGGAGGTCTTCTAGTCCAACCCCTTCCTCCTCAAGCAGGTAACCTTATACCATCAAAAAAGCACAACAAAGAATGTTCTTTCTGCGCCAACTCAGAAAGCTCAAAATGCCCAAGGAGCTGCTGATTCAGTTCTTCAGAGGAATGATTGAGTCTGTCACCTGCGCCTCTATAATTGTCTGGTTTGGCTCTGAAACCCAACAGGAGAGACACAGACTTCAGAGAGTAATTAGGACTGCAGAAAAAATAATTGCTAACAACCTGCCTTCCATCGAGGACCTGTATACTGCACGAGTCAAAAAGAGGGCTGTGAAAATATTTACAGACCCCCTCACATCCCGGACATAAACTATTTCAACTCCTACCCTCAAAATGACGCTGTAGAGCACTGCACACCAGAACAACTAGACACAAGGACAGTTTTTTCCCAAACGCCATCACTCTACTAAACAAATAACTTCATCAACACTGTCCAACTATTTACAAAGTCTGCACTCTTAATTATCACTATTAATCTTCTCATCACTCCTTATCACCCATCCCCTCCCACTTGTGACTGTAAGACTCTAACTTTGTCACTTGTATCCTTACGCTTTTTATTGAGTGTTTCCTAGTATGATTTGATTGCTTATTTGTATCCTACGACTATCATTAAGTGTTCACCTTATGATTCTTGACTCTTGACGAATTTATCTTTTCTTTTATGTACACTGAGAGCATTTGCACTGAAGACAAATTCCTCATGTGTCCAATCACCCTTGGCCAATAAAGTTTTCTATTCCTATTCCTATTCCTATTCCTATTCCTATTCCTATTCCTATTCCTATTCCTACTCTACTCTACTCTACTCTACTCTACTCTACTCTACTCTACTCTACTCTACTCTATTCTTCTTCTATTTGCACCAAGACAAATTCCTTGTGTTTACTTGGCCAATAAAGAAGTCTGTTCTATCTATTCTATTCTGTACCATTCCAGACAAAGGGTCGTCCAATCTCTTCTTAAAAACCTCCAGTGTTGATTAATTGTACTGATTAATTTTTTGACTTTGCTTGACCGAAAGTCGCAAAAGACCATACATGACCCTGGGACACAGCAACCGTCATGAATACAGGTCAGGTGCCAAGTGTCTGAGTTTTGATCACGTGATCATGGGGATGCTACAGTGATCATAAGTGCGAAAAATGGTCATTGGTCACTTTTTTCAGTGCCGCTGTAACTCTGGAACGGTCACCAAATGAACTGTTGTAAGTTGAAAACCACCTCTATGGGCAATGGTTAAGATATGTAAAATACTGTCAACAAGAAGTACCACCACTGCTCCTCTGCAGACAATAAGATTTAAATTCATGAATATTATAGACTATACATTTTTGAGTGGTGCAGTGGCCTAGAGGGGGAGCTCTCGTCTCCCAATCAGGAGGCTGTGAGTTCGATCCTAGGTAGAAGCAGGTACTTCTCTCTCCGGGCATACTGAGAATATATCTGCTGAACAAAACTCCGCATTGGCAACAGGAGGGGCATCCGGCCAGTAAACACTCAGGTCCATTCAGTTGCCCAAACTCCACCCTGCAAAGGATTACGGGGTCATTAAAAAAAGAAAAGAAGATGATAGGCTTTATCTCTTTACTTTAAGAACAACCATGCCTTTCCTACAGCGATATTTTTCCCTTTAAATAAGTATATATGGATTGGGCAAAATGTTTTGAATTTAGACCATCTCAAATCCAAAATGATCTGTTTTGAGGATGGAAGCAGTTCTTGGAAATGTGAAATATTTGTTGTTCATTTAAAGATGGGCTACCTCCAACATTATGCAGAGATTTCAGACCTGAAAGTGTTTTGACTGCTAAATGTTTCAGATTTGCAATGCTTTTCCCCACTGTCTTTCAGCCTAAAGGGTTATTTTATTCAGTGTCTTCAACCTCTAAACAACCCTGTAACTTAAATGTGGAATTATAGAGACATAATGTGGAGTGGCACTTAATATCCATATTAAAAGGATTACAGCATGGTATAAGAATAGAGAGCCCTCTTAATGATGATTCAGAAGTATAAGATATTTTAAAAATACTCCCAACATATTGCCTATATACTTATAAATAATATAGATCACACATTCTCACTTCTCTCATCTGAGGCATTTCAAATCAAGGCCACCCCTGAATATAGCTGATGTAGCCTGATTTATAGTCTCCACGGAAACGGTGTTGATAAATTTTTGGCTGTAGCTCACTTAGCTCTATTTCCTTGGCTGTTTTGCCCAGCTAGGCCAATCCTATAAAACTACAAATTCGCTTAGCAATTTTATCTTTAGATCTGTTTTCTCTGAAGTAACCCCTGTTCCAACCTCATTTTGCTTTCTTCTGTGCTCTGGAACTTTATTACTTGACCAATAATACTTGAGGTCTTTGTGATTTCTTCTGTCATGGAGAAGTTGAAATGACTCTTAGCTCCTTTTGCTTAGCCAGATTAAGACATCACACGGCAAGATTTTATGATTTTAGCATCTTCTCCTTCCGCGACCAGTCTGGATGAAATGCTGCATTGGATTTCTCGCTTGGCTTGGTCTTCTGTCAAGAACCAGCCAAAATTCTGCAAGATAGTCTTATGACGCAGCCAGCAATTCTATATCATAGTCCAGTGATGGCGAACCTTTTTGTTGTGGAGTGCCGAAAGCGCGCATGTGCCGACACCCACAATGCAATGCGTCTCACCCCCCTGTGCATATGCGCGCAATACTTCCAGAAATACCAGAAGTGCCAGTTTTCAGCCTCTGGGGAGGCCTCTGGAGCCCGGGGGAGGCCATTTTCACCCTCACGAGGAAAGCCTCTGGAGGCTGAA